GGTTTGAAACAAGCTCCAAGACAGTGGTACAAGAAGTTTGACAACTTCATGTGTAGTTTGGGATACACAAGATGCTAGGCTGATCATTGTTGTTATGTCATATATTTTAACAATTCTTATATCATTCTACTATTGTATGTGAATGATATGTTAATTGCAGAATCCAGCATGAAAAAGATTGATAAGTTGAAATAATAGTTGCCAAAATAGTTTAAAATAAGAGATTTATGAGCTGCTAAATAAATAGTTGACATGATAATTATCAAAAATAAAAATAAAGATATATTAAAACTTTTATAAACCAAGTATGTTAAGAAAGTTCTTCACAGATTTACTATGATATACCATAAAAAAAATAACAAAATCAAATGGTGACGTAATGTCTCTGCGCATCATGATTATGATGCGGCTTTGGATTACCAAAACCGGAAAGTGCAATGCATGCATGTTGCAACAACGTGGCTAGTGATGCTTTGTGAGCTAGCGTAACAGCTGCGAAGATTTTACTGTGATTCGTATGTAAATACTTCTGCAACCAGCTGATGGTATAACCTTTCGTTAGGATTTTGCCCATGACCACAATCAGGATTATGGTTTTACTGCATGACCTGTTCCTATAATAATGTTCTAAACACTCAAAACGCAACATCCCCTGTTCTCTTTTGTTTTTCATTATAATAAGCTACGAAGTTGCATTCCTTCAAAAAGATACATATTTGTAGACAAATTCCTAATACCAGGAGGAGACTTCGACCTTAGCATACGATCATCTCGAGACGAACCTAATCGATTCATGGAACCCGCACATTGACTGCCCTCTCGAATAATCTCAAACCTACAATATAACATTGGTATAATACTGTAGAGAGGATGATGAGCAGGAGTACAAGGTAAGCACCGAACAGCTTCTATGGAATCCGTTTCAACTTGAAGAGGGACAGCCATTATCTTTCGCAAGAGAGATTCCTTCCCAAATCAATCCCCCACAGCTCAGCAACCATATTTGATGCAGAACCGATACAAGAAGAAAAACCATAGCACCGATTTCCTAAATAATCACTGATAACACCACCACATCCTGCGCCACCAGGAGAACTTCCGTGGACATTTAGCTTCCACAACCTTGAGGGGGTGGCTTCCATTTAACATAACGATGAGAATTGATGCCCTACCCTCCTATATTTTCTTTGTCGCGGAGGAATGGCCTCAGATCATGAAGCTGAACTAGGGTTTCATGATTAGGGTTTAAAATAACACAATTTCTATTATTCAAGAAAAAAAGGAGAGACACGGGTAATACATTTGAGGCAGCAGGTACATATGGAACATTGAAATTTCAAACTCAGCAACATACATTCACTCTTTCATTGGATTAATTAACCATCAAAAGGATATGAAGATGTTTCATCTTGCTTAGCAATCCACCTTCCTATTCCTGATTCTTTCACCAGTGTCTGTTCTTTTACCACATTGTAAACTTTGATGTCAAAAACCTATACTTCAGTGGCAGGGGCGGCTGTGCAGAGCTGCCTCACGCCACCCTGACCTGCACCATGACAGGACAAGGCAGCGTTCCTCTCGCTCCCACTGGCTATAAGTACTGAGAGGTATAGAGAGAAAAAAGGGGGAGAGAGGATTTTTGGTTTAAAAAATGAACAGACAAGCAGACGGAGGAGGAGAGTTTTTGGAGTAAAACAAAAGGAAATTTTGAGAAGAAAGCCGGTGAGACTTGAGAGAATCAGGGAGGAAGATCGTTTTGAGAATTGAAAAAAAAAAGGAGAGAAAGAAGGAGAGGAGGAAGAGAGAAACAGAAACAGAAAGGAGAGAAAGAAGGGGAAAAAAAAGAACAGAAGACACAAGGGAGGAGAAGAAGAAGAAGGATCACCGCCTGAAATTATTTGCCACCGTAATGCCACCTTCATTTTTCCTCTTCGCCGCAGACAGCACCGCCACCGCCAGAACATAAACAGAGAAGAACAGAACAAAACGAGGGGGAGGGGCAGAGATAAAAGAAGGCAGTGGGAAGAAGAAACAGAAACAGCAGCATCACCGCTTAGAACAAATGCCCAACCGCCACTGCAAGCTGCGGTAGCCCAACTACAGAGCACCACCATTCTAGGTAATGCTCCTTCTTTTTGTTTTTTTTTTTTATTAATATAGGTGTCCAAATTAATTTTTATGCATCATAATTAATTTTATAAATCTTGAAATTAACAATAATATAATTCTCTGATAATCATCATATCAACCAAAAACTTGAATATAAAATCATACCTTATTCTCATCTTCTTAGTTGTTCTTTTGCATGCAGTATATGTATTGTTGACTTTCTTACATAAAAAAAAAAATTAATTGTTTACTATACATTAGCACATAACTGATTAATTATAATTAGCTAGCTATGATTCTCATCACAGTAACATAATTGGTATATTGGTTGTTTCGGCTGTAACATCAACTTAGTCTATGCGGCTAAATTGATTCCAACTATAAATAAGTTTTTTTTATTAGTTTTAGCTTGATTTTATTTTAGATAGATCTTATCAATTTAGTTTTTTTTAGGTCAGATTTAGCCATCTTAGTAAAAAAATTCCAAGAAAATCATTTTAAAATTTGTGATTTTCATGCTTAAATGTTTAACGACATTCTGATTAATATCATTATGTATTTTTATACTATAAAGATACAAATCTAGATTAAAATACTTGATTTTTGTCAAAACATTAAAAAATTAAAAAAAATATTTTTGTCTTCATGCATATGGTTAAATCTCTAAAATAAAAAAATCATATCATGTTTTCATATAACAAAAATTCAAAATATATATTTGCATGCATTTTGGTTTTGATAACCAATTTATTAAAGTTATAAAAACTAGATTAACATTTCAAAAATTTCAAGAAAATTATTTTGTTTTCTTTTTAATATCCAGAATTACAAATTTACACATAAAACATATTCTTAATATTAAAAATATGCTTCTTTTACATACATTAAAATAATTAAGTTTTTATCTGAAAATAAAAAAAAAAGTCATCACAATACATACATGTGCGATACTCAAACTCATTAAAATTTTTTAGAGTCATCTAAGCATTAAGTCATTCATTATATCATTCACACATATTCCAAGACATGAAAGTAAACAACTTATTTTCAATTTAATTTCATAATTAAAATTATTCTACTAAATGTTATAAGATATGTAATTCTTTCTTTATAAAACATACCTTACAATAGATATCGTATGTCTTAGCAAGCGAAATTCAGCAATTTTTTTTTTGTATATCTAGCATTAATATTATCCATTTTTTTTTACTTTTAATCTTATGTAACTTTCTTAATTATGTATAAATAATGTGGTAGTACAGCCCTCATTACATTATAATTGTGAAAACTTGAGTCATTATATATAACTCAAGCCGTTAATTTAAAGAAACTAATTATTAAAACCATTATCGCTAAGTCCTTGACCAGAAGATCTTCAATATTGTTTTAAAATGTTGATATATGTGATCCTTGTATGAAACAATAAATCTCTTACGAAATGGTTTATTATTGTTGTTGAAAATATTTAATTTTTTATTTATCTTGCTTGATAAAAGACTATTGAAATTTTTTATATAGAAAAAACTCGAAAACTCTTTCAATATTGTATGTAGAAAAATAAGAAAACTATTTTCCTTAAATAGAAAAAACAAGAAATTTTTCTTAATTGGATAAAATATAGATAATCTTTTTTTCATGAAATAAAATATAGATAATCTATATTTCTATTAAATAAAAATTCGAATTGTTACAATATGAATAATCATTCAACATACACAAAGTAATTAACATGTTTACATGAATTGACAGTGTATCTTCAAAAACATTCTATGAACAAGATTGCTTTAAATTTACAGCTCAGATTTTCCTGCATCCTTGCCATTACCTGTATAGAGCTTTTAAAAAGAATCCTGGCTCTATTCCTACAAAAAGTAATTAACAGTAATCGCATAATCTGATTTACATTTCATGAAATTAAATTATCCCTTAGCTATAAAGCTCTTCATCCAGAATACCATTCTGATTTACATTTTAAGATTGCTCCTTTTTCGGGAGCATAATATTAATGGTTTTTCTTTTTCGCATGGCCCCGACCCCCGCAAACCTCCTCTCTCCGCCCTTGTAGACATACCGCAGTTCGTATTTCACCCATTCATAGTCCTTCTCCTACAGGGTTTGGTTTTTTCATACTCATATATACCAGTAGGGATTTCTTGCCTTATTTTGCATCATTTTCCTTTTCGATAGGATTTTCAGACCGCATAGGGTATGCTAATAATTTCCAAGGCACTAATTAAGGCAAGAGTAATGCCAATCGAAAGCAAAGAGATTTTATATAGAAATTAACTTATCTCTACAGGGTTCTTTGCATTTGTGATTTCAAGTTCAATGAAAATTGTGTTGTCATTGTAAAAGAGAGAATGCCGAATCAAAAGGGATTAATTTCCAGGAGCACAAATCGCGTAAGCCTGCTTTATTTTCTTAGTAATATTTTCATCGGTAAATTTAATATATTATTGATATGAGAATTATATATAATGTCACTAATATTTTTATTTATATTCATATTAATTTATCCTCAAAAGTATTGTTATCTATTTTCAAAAATATTTAGAAAAAAAGAAAAGAGAGAGAGTAATATCAATGTGATAATTATTATTTTCATTTCTTGAAGGCTGCTAAGTTTATATTCTTATTTTCTTATATTACTATATTCATTTTTTTCATTTTGTAAATTGGATTAATATGGAAACATAAAACAGAGAAGTACAAGATAATTTCTGAAAGATTAGTCAGAGAATCATTCAAGTGTATATTCTATTGTTACAGGAATTCAATACAAAGTTAATATTGACCACTCAGATTTTCTTGCATCCTTGCAATTACCTACATAAAGCTATTACAAAGTATCTAAAATAATCTGAGTAATTTTATCATTCATTCTACCCTGATAGTTCTTCTTTAGTTTGCAAGTTTAATCTCTGTAAATGAAACTGGCAGCTTCTAGCAGAGGCATGATCTCTATGAGCATCCATGATTATATATATTGATGTGGCTTTAGATTACAGAAACCAGAAGTGCAAAGCATGTATATTGCAACAAGGTGGCTTAGTGACCTTGGATGCATCTCCGTTTAATGGAGCTCCACTTAATGCAAGGGAAACTATTCAGGAAGCAAATTGTTGAAGCAAAAGGCAAGAGTCTTGCTCAAGAACTAGACATCCTGAGCGAGTTGCTAGTAATGAAAACTGCATCTGCAGTTAATACATACACAAGAGGTCTGCTGGTAACGGGAGGTGCTGGAAACTCACATGCAACAGTGTCCAAGGAAGTTGCTGAATTCTTCCTTGAAATGGGGATTGAATATGTTAAGCTTTCCAACTCGCCAAGGTTTCAGATGATGCTCAGTGAACATGGAGAACAATGAGAGATTTCTACTTCTGATGAACTAGAAGTTGGGGTTCTAGAAGAGCAATTCAAGGACGTGCAAGAAAATGCCGACCAAATTACTCGAACAATATGGGCAACAAACCAACCAGATGGATGAATGGATAGATGAAAATGATCGATGCCTGGTCAATTTCTTGCAAAGAAATAATGTCTCCCACATTAGAACCTACGAAGCAGGCATCATATCAATTACGCTACTGAGAGGCGCAATCGGATTGAATATGCCACTCCACTTCCACCTTGCCATCCCAAGCATCATTCTGGTACTGCAAGAGAAAGCTGATTAACTTTAACTGAAATTCACTATATTTCAAACACAGTAAATATATCTGCTACATTAATATCCTCAAATTAAACTCCCTTGTTAAATTGTGAATTTACATAAATAAATAAATTTATGCATAATTGACCTTTGAAACAAATAGTAAATATTAGAAATTTATATATGCTAAGTGATAAAATTGCCAGATTGGACTCGTAAAAGCCCTTTTTCTTAGGGGTCTACTTGGCATATAAAGTCATTCATCATAAGAAAGTATCATTTACACATGTTCCAATTAGACATGAAAATAAAAGATTTATTCTCAATTTAACGACAGTCTAGCAAAACTCTTAGTTCTTGTAATTTTATTTTAAATTGATGGAAAATTCAATTTTCAAAAGTGCACATTTTGAAGAATTCAAAATTAGACAAGCTAGTTTTTAAACTCTGTAGTTAATTACAAATAATTAAGAAAAACAAAAAGAAGAAAAGAAATTAACCAATACAAAGCCAGATGCAATACCTATGCTTGATCCAATTCAACCTGAAGCGCGGTGCAAAATGATGGATGTCCATTTGCTCTCCATTTTCTTTAGCTCCAAAATCTGAAGAAAATAAAGAATTATTCCTTTTTAAATCTTGATTGACCAAAACAAAAAAGAAATAAATAGAACAATAAGAAACAAGAACATACAAACCTTTGGAGTTTGATTTGGTATATACTCAAATTGATAAAAGAGAATTGTTTTAAGCTCTTCCTCCTCATCATCATCTCCGTCTTCTTCTTTTCTAACTATCTCCATTTTTTTTTTCTGTTAAAACAACGCTTCTAATTAGAGTTGGGATTTTTTAGAATGTATATGAGAGAATATATAGGCTGGATTCATCCTCTCATCAGGGTTTTCCTTGATACACCTGTTCACGTACTTTCTCTCTTTTCTAATTATACGTGGGATTGCCAACTTAAGAATTATCGAAATTTGCGTATTCTTTCTGTACCACGTAATTGCTAGTGTTGGATAAGCATGAGTAATGACTCCAATGGAAACTTATGTTGTCAGAGCATCAAAATTGTCAGCGTCTCAGCGAAAAATGTGGATAGGGTTAGGTTAAATCCAATCCAACTATTATTTTTAAATTGATGGTTTGACTCCATTCTTGTCATAATACAGTAATATAATCTATTTTGAAATTAATCCTTTGATTTTTTTCTATAAGAAAATAATTACCAATTTTATAAAAAGTTATAGTTAAATCCAAAATCAATACGATAAATAATATTACTAATAACTTAAGGGCTCATTTACAAGTACGAATATGGTAAGATTTAATCCTATCCCACTATCAAAGTTTTTTTGAAATTTCTTATCTATTTTTTTTTATAGCTTTGTCCAATTGAATAGGATTAGGTTTAATTAAATCCAGTTATTTTAAAATTTTCTTATCTTACCTAAACGTTTTGGATATATTCTTTATCTTATCCCGTTTAATTTAAAAAACAAGTAACTAAAATTAGAGTTTAAATTTAATTTGTACAGACAAGACAAACATTTCATCTCTGAAATGTAATTCTATATTTATATATGTGCTCAGTGGTGTTCTATACATTATAATATGTGTAGGCGTTTCAAAATAGAGTTGTCAGTACAAAACAGAGTGAATAATAATTTATTGTTGAAAGGAAAAGAAATTTGGTTAAAAAAGAAAGACTCAATGTTCCAATATTTTTTTAGGATTTTTGGTGATATACAATTTACAATAAAGTTGATTTTAAAAAAAAAAAATTTTGTTGCTTTTATGGAAGTAAGCTGATTTATTTAATGCTAAACAAACATTTCACGTGTAATTTATAATTTCAAATATTAAAGATGAGGGGATAAAAAGATGTAGGGAACTCAAAATTAATTGTTAGATGATCTTTCAAAATTTTGAAAATTTATTTAACTTTGACTAATTAAGACTATGTTTGGCAAAACTTTAAAAAAAAAAACATTTTAATTAAGCAATTTTGACCACCTTTTTCTTTTCATTTTTTTTTCTCTCTCTAACTTCTTCTTTTCTTTTCATTTTCTCTCCTTTCTTTTTTCATTTGTTTTTTTTTTCTCCTAGTGATGGGGTATTTATAGGGGTAAGAAGGAGCTTACACCACTTTATTGTTATCCATAACATATGGAAGGGTAGGGTGGCTCGGCGACCACTTTACAGCCACTCTAGGGCTAGCCACAAGACTTGTTTTATCTACTCACCTCGGGCACAATGGCAAGCCATAAAAGAGACGTGAATTGTGTCGTGGTGTGGGGACATGGAGGAGAGAGAGGGAGCTGAAGCACGCTGCTAAAGATGGGGAAATAACCCTCTTTTTTATCCTTCCCCACCTATATAACTAGTCCAAAGGAAAAAGATGTTGCATAGTACCATCAAAACAACATCGTTTTGTTTTTTCAAACAAAATATGTCATTTCATTTAACTAAAATGGTGTCATTTTGGTGCTTAAAGAACACAATAACCTTTAGAAATCCCTATCTCTAAATTAGTCAAAAAACAAATTATTTTATCAATTAGGTCCTTGTTTGAGATATTGATTTTAAGAATCAATTCAATTTCATCATAGTCAAGCTCAAATGTTAGCCCTAAAGTTTGCCATCTTTTTTATTTTGGTCTTTCACTCTAAATTTGTGCATTTTGACCGTCAAATAACCAACAACATTCTTCAATTTAGCTCCTAATTCGATCAATTTTAGGCCCAACATTCAAGCGCCTTTGGTTCTTAGTTTTGGATTTCTTCAATCAAATCCCTAATTACCCATTAAACATCAATATTTATGTAATTAAGCCTCTAATTTGACCAAATCAACTCTTAAAATTCACATTTCGATTCCTAAACATTAATTTCTTCCAATTAAAGCCTAAATTGACTTCAAAATCATTTGTTTCTACAATTAAGCCCTGCCCTTTATAAATTAATTAAAACCTTAAAAAAAATCTAATTAAGTCTATAAATATCTAATTTGGAATTTCTCTTTCTCAATTTAAATTTTCTTTGCTAATAGGGCTTTCATCAATAAAAAGTATAGTATTAAATTTCAATCATTGTATATTTGATCCTCATCAACCAATCTTTCACTATTTTCTAGGAGTTACAGTATCCGCTTCTCACTAATATATTTCTTTCTTTTCTTCCAACGGTTTTTTGATTTTTTTTACCCCCCCTTGCCCTTCTCTTTTTATGTATAAAAAAATAGGTAACAACTGATGTCCCTTATTTAAAATACTTATGAAGTAAAGACTAGTTCAATGCTTTGCATAGTAAGTTTTGTAAAGAAAAATAAATTTTTTTACAAAACTAAACTTATTAAAGCTTTTAGTTCGATTGACTTGAAATCTGCCTTTTTAGTAATCCTCTTCAACTAGAATTACAATAAAAACTATGTACAGTTGGTTATCCTGAGATCCCAATCTGAAAAACAGTTCAACTAACCTGAGATCTCAATCCAACGACCCCCTTTAACCAGAATAAAAAAATGATCAACTTAGCTAACTTGAAATCCCAATATGGCAATTCCTTTTAGCTAAAATTAAAATCTAAAAAACAGTTTGGCTAACCTAATATCCCAATGAAATGATCTCTTTTAACCAAAATCAAAATCTTGAACAACGATTCGGCAAACCTAAAATTCCAATCTAACGATTCCTATAACTAGAACTAAATCGTTGTCAGTAGCTCGACCAACTTGAATTCTTAAGCTATTAATGTCACCTTGCTTTTTCCTTATAGTAAAACCTTTATTCTCTAAAGGCTTCAACTATACGCTCAACTTTAATCCCTTTGCTTTATTCTTTTAGTTATGCATACAACATCATAGAAATATTGAAATGAGCTACCTATTAGATGCTCATAGTTGGTTGCCTTAAAGGTATTAGAGAACAAAGTCACCATTTCTATCTTTATTAAAAAGAGTTGGACATGTGTTGCCTCATCCCTCTATTTTTTACATAAGCCCTCACTGACTCTTGACTTCTTTTCTCTATTATTATAAAGTTTGTTTGGTCTAGAGCAATTTCTAAGTTAAACTTATACTGCTTAGGGAAAGCCTTTACCAAATCTTTCCAACTCCTGATCTTGGTATTGTCTAACCTTATGTACCATCTCAAAGAAGACCCTGCGAGCTATCTTAAAAAAAAAAGATCATTAATTTATCATTATGGATCACTTCCACCATTTTGTTGTAGTAGGATTGACGGTGAGTGTTCAGGTATTCCAAATTAGTGTATTTTATGAAACTTGGTATCCTAAAATCCTTTGGTACCATAATGTTCGGTATTAAACATATTTCAGCTATTCGTTTGGGGTCAAACTAGTCATTACCCTCAATTGCCCTTAATCTTACTTGTCGTGGTTCATAAAACTGGTGGACTTATTATTATAAGGTCTTTCTTCCATTAAGTCCATGGTGAATGGAGCTTGAGTTGGTTAGACAGGGGTGACAGGAATAAAATGTTGCTCAGTTATCAAATATGCCCCCAAGTTTTGAGATGTTTTAAGGATATGAGCTACTGGTACTCCCACGAGTAGTTGTGCAGACATCCCTTCCCTATTCTTGGCTCTTAAAAGTTGCACGAGTAGATTGGTCATCATGCAACTTATTTTTCACGGATTCTAACTTGTTCTGATTATGTGACTCCAATTGAGCTTTTTCTTCATTCTTCATTCTTGATATTAACCGAGTATGGTAGACTTTGGATGTAGGACCTATGTTTCTATTTGGCATACATTTGATAAATTATAAACAAATGTGTGATTAAAACATGTGATGCATATACGATATGTATTAACTTTTTTGAACTGATTCATAACTTTTGTAATCCTTTAGGCAAGATTTCTAAGATGAACTGATTAATGTAAAAGGGTGTTCGTCATGTTCTTATCATGGTAGATTTCCAAAACACATTTACAAAGAAATATAGGACACAAATCTAGATTAACCATTTAACAAGTAAGGTATTAAGAATTAATAAGATAAAAATGATAAGACATGTTAATAGCAAGTTGTTTAGGATATAAGCATTGAAGTCCATATTGAGTTTATATTTACTTATCCTAACACCATTAGTGAAACCTTTTCACCTTGACATAATTAACTTAGCTAGACATTATGAAGGAGAAAAACTTAAAGAAACAATATAAGAACATAAACATGATATAAGTTAACTAAGTATAGTAAAGGAAATGAAAAGCATGAATAAGAGATTAATGAAAGCAAAACTTAAGCATTACAAAAATATAAAGAGAGAGAGTAAGAACATGATCTTGATATGAAAAACAAGATGCCTAAATGAATGGCAAATACCTTCTTTTATAGGCTAAAATTCAGAACTATTCATTTGATAATTGATAATTGATGTAGTGGTCAACTATTGATTACTGGACTTGGTGGACAACATCACTCAAGCACTTTGGCTGGATGAATTGACATTGATGCAATTCTAATTTTGCAAAGTTTTCTTCATAAAAGTTGTTGAAAATTGTCTTTTTCTTTCACCTACCAAATTTCAGATCATTTGGAGTACTACAGCTTGAGATATGTCTGAAATACTGAGCAGTGCTGCTGGTGGATAACCCTCATGCTCTTGTCTGGATGAAATGTCATTTTTACCATCCAAATTTGAGCATGTTTTCTTTATGAAAGTTGTTGGAAATTATATTTTACTTCCACCTACTAAATGTTAGATCATTTAGACTTTTAAAACTCCAGTTATGGTTAAAACTCTTAGCAGTGTTAGGGTTGAATTGTAGGGCAGATTCAGACTTCTCCTTTGTGGCCAAACTTTGAATTTGAAAATGGAAAATTTAGGTCTTTCCATGCCACGAAAGTTGTAAGTCTATTTCTTATCTTTCTAGCCATATAAATTAATCTCAAGTCCAAGATTTATAACTCTAGATA